CCCCACCCCCAGGTATCCTCGCCCACCCTGGCCCCTTTCTTGCCTGTGACCACAGTGCTGCTCTGCTCCCTGCCCAGTGGTCTTCAGTGGCTGAGACCAGAGCACCCTGCTCGGACACCCCGAGCTTGGTCTCCTTGGCTGTCCACCTCGGTGCCCACTTGTTTGCCCCCTTTGTACAGCCCACCCCCACTCCCTGCAGCCGCACACACTCCCTCGGTCACCTGTGGGCTCCTGCCTCCGTGCATACCTCCTCTCTGCTGGAAATGCCCCTTCTCCCAAATGCTTCTCCTTCACAGGCCTGGCCCTGAGCCCACTTTGTACCCTGCCGTGTGCTGCTGAGCGGAAGCAGCCCGTGGTGTCTTGGGACCCTGCCGCACTGTCTTGCTTCCGGCACTGGCCGCGTGGGCTGGTGTCACTGCTGCCGATCGCCGATCGTGTACCGTGTCTTACCTCCCTCTCTAGACTGTGAGCTCCTCGCGGGCAGGGACCTCTGTGTTCACTTTGTATTCCCACGGCACCTAGCACAGTGCCTTGCACTTAGGTGCTTAATAAACGTCTGCTCAACTGAACCCGAGGACCGTGCCTTCTTGACCGCGGCACCTGGCAGGCTGGCAGACCTTCAGGATCGCAGTCCAGCAGCCGCACCTGGGCATCCACTGCTTGGCCGCGGTGACCTCGGTGGGCATCTGTCTGGCTCACTTCCCTTCCCATCTCCGAGGTTCCACATTCGTGTGGGCCAGGGATGGGCACCTGACAGGCTGAGCCAGGCAGTGGGCCAGGGACAGACACCTGTCCTGAGGCCAGTCGAGCCCTCCTGGATTCTCCCCTCGGGTGATGGGAGCCGAGAGTGTCATACCCAGGTCTGTTAGAGGCTCTTTCCTGACACAGGGTTGCTGACCACAGTGAGCTGACCTGTGGTCTAGATGCAGAATCGAGACTGTGAGAGGCCTGCTGGCATGAGTTCCTGGTCCCTGTTGTCATGAAAACCTGATGGCACCACAGCCTTCCTCGCTGTCAGGCACCCCCAGATTCTAACATTTCCCTTTTCCTCAGCTGGCTCGAGTGGGTTTGCCTCCCTCAAACTCAGAAGTCAGGTAAAATCTGCATCACTGCCCTTGATGTGACTGGTAAGATGGGGGGGGCACATCGTGTCTACAAAGATCCCCAAGGATGTGTGCAGACAGCCTAGGATGCTCACCCCAGCCGGGGCGGAGTCCTGTCCACCCTCGAGCAGGTTCCTGCCGCCCCTCCTCAGCACCTGCTTCCTCCAGGGTTGTGTCTGTCGCTGGCTCCCCGTGTGAATGTCTTGGCTCAGTGCCCTAGCTGGGCGACAGCAGCCTTATCCCTTTGCGCTGAGCCCTCCCGCGCCCTCCCCAGGGAACGGGACAGGAAAGGTGCTTCCTGCTGCAGGGTGTTGGGACATTCAAACCTGTGAAGAATTTTTGTCAGTTTATTTGAGCCAAACTATCAACATATGTCCAGGAGCCAAAACCTTAACGGATTGAAATAATGTTTCGGAGAAGGGAGTTCTGCGCCCTGCTTTATGGATTCCAGTCAGAGGAGGGGCTGTAAGTGGGTCACACGAAATCCATGGGTGATGGACTGTGAAGGCCAAGCCAGGAAACCAAGCCAGGAAACCTCTGGGGTTGGATAAAAAGTAAAATGAAAGACACGTATTTCTTTTATGTAGGTGGCTGCAGGACAGTTAACAAGATGACAATAACAATGGGAGGATTCCTAGTCTCTGCCCTGGTGCTTTGGGGGGGAGGGGGAATTGCTTTGTTTTGCAAAGGCTCTTAATCAGGCATGTTATCTCCCTTGCAAAAGACTTAGTTAAGGTGAAGATTAACCTTCGTGAAGGAAAAATACTGCCTTAGGGCGTGACTTAAAATTTTTTCATTTCAGACCATCCTTTGTGGTTATTTTAGGTCTCTGAGTTTGCAAGGCCGCCTCACAGGCCTCCCTGAGCTAGTCAGGTTTGGTATGTGGCCCCTTTTCGTCCACAGGAGGGACAGGTGTGTTTACTGGGAGCATGGGAATGGCGCAGACAGCCCAGCTTAGTGACTGGCTGCTGAGGCTCCTGTCGGCCCGCGACGCCTGTAACTCATCAGCCAGAGGCGGGCACACCCCCAGCCAGAGGCGGGGACCTGGTCTCCAGGCGCCCTTCCACCTCCTTCCAGATTCTGGACGAGGCCCTCGGCCCCTCGGTCCTCTGCCCCCACCAGCCCCCTGACCCTGCCCGCGCACCAGGAGCCTGGATGGGCCAGGGAAGTCAGCTAGCCATAGAGTCGTTAGACCAAAGACCGTGCCTGGGAAAGCCGGACCTGGCCACACAGCGCGCCTGAGGGCCCATCTGGGAGACGAGCTGAGCCTTGAGGCTCAGAGGCTGGTTCTCACAGCCAGTGTGGCCAGGGCTCAGGATCTGACTTCCAAAGGCCATGCCACCTCCCCAAGAGGCACACTGTCCCAGGTGACCTGGCAGCCAGAATGGTGCCTAAGATGACCCCTGCCCCCACCCAGTGAGCAGAACTGAGGCCCAAACCCAGATCAAGGATGCCAGCCTGCCACACAGGGGAGCTGTGGAGGGAAGCTGCCTCCCACCCCACCTCCTTGTGCATCCCAGGGCCACATCCAGCCCTGCTCCTGTGGGGCGGAGGTGCCAGGAGCCCATTTTAAAGAGAGGGCAGACTGGGCCAGCAGCATAGGCTCTGTCTGGGGTGAGCCCATGTGCTGCACCTGCCTTCCATTCACTGGGGGACGCAGACCAGCCAAGTGGCCTCTGATGGGGTTTTTTTTTTGTTTTTTCCCCATTGCTTTTCAGAGAGTGGAAGGGAAAGAGAGAGAGATTGATTGGTTGCCTCCCGCTCACACCCCTGTCTGGGGATGTAGCCTATAACCAAGGCATGTGCCCTTCGCCAGAATCGAACCTGGACCCTTTAGCCCGAGGACCGACACACTAACCACTGAGCCAGACTGGCTGGGGCTGGTAGCTTTTGAAAACGGAAAGAGTTCTTTTCACAGCGCAAGTTTCAGTTCTCTGGCGTCTATGGTTCTGGAGCTGGTGGCAGTCACTGGGGAAACTGAGGCTAGACAAGCCAGGATTTGCCCAGAAACAGGGCAGAAGTACCCACAGCCAGGGCGAGGGCCAGATCTGGATGCCCAGGGGTCGGGGGTCCTTGGATCAGCTCCTCTCAGCCCCTCCCACCAGACTCCCAGCCATAGACTAGGGCCTTTGGGGCTTTCCATCCCACCCCCACCAAGTTCCCAGGGAGCCGGCCCTCTAGGCCACACAGCCTGAAACCCAGCCTGGGGTCAGGCCTGGGCAGGCCCTGCCCTCCCCCGTCCCTGCTCCTGGGCGAGGGGGGGGCGGAGGCGGCGGTGGCAGCGGCCGTGGCCCCTGAGAAGAATGCGCTCGTCTGCCCGCCTGTCTGGCTCCGGGATCAGTCTAAGGTTTCAGCCTCCAGAAAAGGCTGCGGGAAGGAGAGGGCCCAGTGCCACTGGCCGAGGAGCTGCAAACGCTGCTTTGCTCAAACCAGTGTCCCTCGGGGCACAGCAGGTCCCTGTGCCCTCGCCAGCCCCTCAGGAGGACAGGACATGCCACGTCTCCCCTTAGATATCAGGAGAGGGGCACCCGTGCTCACTCACATTTTGAGGCTGAGGCATCTGAGGGTGCTCCTGGTGGCCTGTCCCCTGGACTCAGCGTGGCGTCTAGGGGACTATAGGGGTCAAGGGAGGAAGCCACCCTTGCCACCCACAAGCCTGTCTCCTCTCAGGTCAAGGACACCCAGTTCTGTCTTAGCTCTGCTTGGGGTCCCTCGGGCTGTGCCCTCCCCCCTCTGGGTGTCAGCATTTCAGTATGTGAGACATAAGTAAGTCTCCCACCTGTCACTGACCTGGCGCGTGGTGAGATCCAAGGAGGCAAGAGCACTGTGAGAGGTGGGAAGGAGCCTCCTCCAGCTGTCAGCTCCAAGCCCCCTCTTCCAGGAAGTCTCCCAGGGAGCAACCCTCCAGGCATACCAGCCCCTAGCAGCTGGGAATGCTTGAATTTATTGACGTGCCCAGTGCTGTGGGAAACACTACACACCAGTGGGCTCCCGTTTAACCAACATAACAGCCTCTGATGATGCAGGTGTTCACCCTGCCCAGAGGCCAGAACCACTGAGCCCCAAACATGGGCAGGGTCTCCCAAGACTGGAGCTGCTGCAGCACAGGCTGAGTGCCAGAGTTGCTCCAGTGCTGATGTGGCCCCAGGGAGGTGCGACACTGTGATGATGAGGCGTGAAAGCTGGGACACTCCAGGAGCGAGGGGCTGGCAGCTCAGGAACCAGGTGAGGTGCCAAGAGCAGAGCTGCAGGCGGGGTGCAGACAGGGACACGGGGACGTGTGAGGAAGAGGTTTGTGGCAGGGGTTTCTCAGGAGACAGGGCGGAGAGGATAGGCCAGGAGCAGAGCTTAGCAGAGACAGTCCCAGCGGAGGCGGCTTTGCCTGACCCCACAGGGAGCTGAGGCACATACGATGCCCAGGGTTTGTCCCACCTCAAGGTGCGAGGCCGGCCACGCGCTAGGGATAGTCAGTGGAGTGTGATCGTCCACACAGGGCAGCCCCTCTGCGGTCTGTCAGCCAGTGCTTGCGGCCAGGGGCTGGCCCAGTGATGGGTCTGGCTGCGGCACCCCCGCGTCCCCTTGAGTCCAGCCCTCTGTGCTCAGAGCCCACAGCTTCTCGCTTTTCTGCTGCATTGTCGTGGAACAGAGCCCAGCACATGCAAGGCCTCAGTCTGTCCATGTGGTGGAGGCGGGTGCACAGGACACATACTGTACTCAGATACCCCCTGAGAAGATTGTAGGTGACAACCACCTTCCCCTCTGGACCGTGAGAATTAATCCTTCATAATTGTATTCCCTGCACGTAGCACAGTGCGGCACATAGTAGGTGCTCAACAAACAGTGAGTGGATACATGGGTGACGGGAGGTGAGAGTCCCTCACCCAGCAGAGGGGTTTCACCGTGTTTAGGAGCCTGTGTCACGGACACGGCTGCAGCGGCGGCAAGCACTGCCCCAGGAAGCCTGGGGGTCCTGGAGAGTCGCGGAGACGGTCTTGCACCTGGAGGCCACATTCCTCACGGATTACGCAGAGGCCTGTTTCTCTGGTGATGGTGGGAGCCTGCAGCTCCTGTTGAAGGCAGACAGGGAGACAGCGGGCAGG